ATACTAAACATTAAAATTGTGTACACCAAAATCATTTCAACATAGTCTGACAGTTATACTTGCCCCGAGAAAACCTCATCTTGCCTCACCTTTTATTTTTAAAGGGTAAGACGGCCAACTTCCGTGTTCAGTCTAATGTCACAGGAGCGCCCTCTGGTGGAATCGCCTCAAACAACCTTACACGAAAACAAAAGTGGTTTGTTTCATTTGGCCTGAAGTTTGCATTTTGATCAAAGTGATAATAAAAGAACTAATGTGAACTGAAACCTAGATGTTTCCTGTTGAAGCACACATCTCCTCTCGTTCTTTACAACAATGCAAAGACAGATCCTGCAGACTGAGGCCTATATAAAGTGATTTCATTAAATAGTTTACATAATAGCAAAATCAGAAATAGGCAGTTAGTTGTTTAAAAAATCTAGATGAGTCTGACAAAACTTGTAACAGGACAATAAACAAACAGGCCGTGCCCTGTAACTAGTTTTCAAAAGACGGAGGTCAAGTGTGATGAATTATGTTGAACATCTGTTGCTGCTCACACAATGCTGAGGGGCCTCCACCCTTCAACTTTGCCCCCGGCCATTGTTTCTCTCATGAGAGCATGACAGCATGACAGCACACACCAATACAGTACAACTCACACACTCCCAAGGGTCAACACAATTTGAGGCCAGAGTTTTAGAAAAGGGGATTATCGTTGTGGTCATGTAGCGACTTAGGCCACACACACACACACACGCACACAAACACACGGACACATACAAACGGTTTGCATGTTGCAGTTTCTGGTAATCCTCAGGGCTGTGGAGATAAGATTGGGTCTCTGGTGGCAAGCAGAATGCAGAGCATGATGTAAAAACATAATAACTCTGAAAATGAGAAAGAGAAACACGACCAAGGCGTACATGTTTTTTCAAATTGTAATTATGTACATATTAACATTGCATTTAAATTACCTTTTAAACTCTTCAGGTGCATATTTCATTGTCTCTTCAGTCCCCAGTCAGTCCCTGCACAGTGCTGCTTAAAGCTTTTTTAAAAAGCTGTTGCCTATTACACTGAACATTTAAACTCTTTCTAACTGATTTGTGGTCCCTTGATAAGCAATAAAATATCTCCAGTTAATCTAGGTTGAAACCAGTACATGCAATTTCAGCATCCAAACATAAATAATGACTCTATGATGGCTGAAGCATAAAGTCTGTTCTTCTTTTCCTGGTGTAAAACACAGTAATCAGCACTGTATACTCTATCTCCACTAGATGACACCAGAGCTACAGAGTGCAGCCAATGCCAATTGCATCTGCAGAGTCAGTATGTAATCCATGTCTTAGCTGTTACCACACCAGACCGCATACGGATGTAGGCCACTTCAGGCAATGATGTTGCACTTCTTGACTTCTTGAGGCCCGAACAGAATGTGTCCAAGTCTAAAGTTGTTCTAAAGTTGCTAATGTGGCCCAAATATCCCATGTGGGCCTATTGGCAAACAAGCTGTGTTCTGGGCAAGGTGTAATCTGGATGTGGACCTAAAGTGACCCATGTGGTAAATGGTGAACATGACCATGTTCAAAACTAATTCGGGTCACCTTTGGCCCCTTTGGTGGACATGCAGTATTGCTATGGTTCACTTGTTGCCCAGATCTGACAAACAGGGGCAGAGAGCCCCAGTGCCATGATTCCACTCGGTATGTGGGCTCTCCAAAAGCTTCATTGTTAATCGTGTAAAGAAAAGGCCTGAGATCCACACTGAGCTTAATATATACAACCCCTTATTGAATATTAAATAGAACAGTCCTTTAAATTAAATTTTCCCATTTCACTATGCATTGCTTTATTTCCATGCACCTCATCCTATAGTGTCAATAGAAAAAGTGCACAGAACATTAAAATATTATTTTGCCTAGTGTCTCCTGAAGTATATTTTTTCCATAAATCTTCCTGTTGATCCGATTCCATCACACCAATAACATTTTAATGATTTATCTCCTCTTTTGCTCACACAACATTTTCTATTTTTCTCCTATAACTGTAGAAAGTGAAATGAGAGTTTAGTTAATGTTATGAGTTGTTTAGTTAATGTCATACATTACCTGGTGATATTAATTATCTGAAATAATTTCTTTTCTTTTCTTCTTTTCTATTTGTTTGTGTTTCACTGTGCTCCTTACAGAGGACGTGTTGTATTCACTGCTCACTGGGAGAACATTGCGCTGAGTTGTCAGTTCTATCCCCTATTCCTGGATGCAGGACAGCGGTGTCAAGGTGTTACATTTAAGAGGCTCATCAGCTTATGTGGGATATGGGTCAACAAAGGTGGACTCACTTTCCAACTCTCTATGCACATAATGTAATGCAATATACCTGTGACTACACAATTATATATTCTGTAAAGTTAAAATTATGTTCCTTTTATGCATCGTTTAAAAGTTTAAAAGTTCAAAACACAAACGAGAGGAACATGAACACACACACACACACACACAAACAACACATCACCATATGTTGAATCTGTCTTTATTCATCATTTTTACCTTTGATATATTTTAATAAAAGCAACAAGTTTACACACACGTCTCCATGAGCTAAACTATTAGTAACCCCCCCTCAAACAAAATAAAACACTGCACAATCTGACATCTTCTTTGCTGTGCTCATCCATCCAGTACATACATTGTCTCTAACACTGATCCAAGGGCTGATGTTGTGGCAACCAGCTGTTCTTGGAGTCAATTGCCAGGCAGGCTGTTTCACCAGTGGCGTCTATTGTCAAAAGAAAAAACGAAAAGAGCTGAGAAGACTGACGCAGGCGAAACACAGCACAGCTCAGGGGACCTGCAGGGAGAGCCCTTCGTTATCTTTAATGACTCCCACTCCACCAGGGTTCGAATTCATTTAATCTGTGGGACCTGCTGTACTGTGGGCATATTAGACCAATTAAAGCACGGTTCAGGTGTCTGTGTGCAATGTGGCTGTGGTCTCCATGGCAAGAAAAATAAATATTTATCTCTGTACTTTTATATTTCGTGACAAAGCATCGCCATACGTCTTATGAGAAAAATAAAAGGTGTGTGACTGCATTTCCAGAAGAGTATGTTGGGATGATGGGAAGAGGCCTCTCCATGCAGCATGCATGATAACAAGGCTTTTAGAGTATATGGCCTGTAGCCAATCCTCTTACACTGTGCCTCACTGAAAATGGATTAGTGAGTAACACCTACGTTTTGGCCCCAGGTCACTTTGGAAGGATTGGATTGAATGGGCCTGTAGCTGACACTGGGCCTTACCCTATAGCTACAAAATAAACTTTAAAACATTTTTACAACACAGATTCGCCCATTGAAAGGAAAACTACCAATTGGGATATTGTAACGTCTACATTTTCCACTCATGACCTGAGGGAAAGCTGCAGAGCCAGTTGCTCCTCGCTCAGATGTGGAGGCTGCAGGTGAGCAGCTTGTGGAAACACGGCAGCCTTCAGAGGCGCTGACTGCGGGGCGTAAGTAGCTCTCCAGGGTGCTGAAGACGCATCGCCCGCAGCCCTGCCCGTCTCTTCCAGCCCCTGTGATCCAAACGCCATGACTCTGCTGCTGCGCCTCAGCCGCGCCGTGCGTCCTCGGGCTTGAACAGGTTGAGGCGTGGACGATGGTCAGGTGAGGGGACGCCCGAGAGGACACCTGCGAGACCGTCTCATCGGACCTTGAAGCTGTCCCGATGGATTCAAAGAAAGGGTGAGTTATTTGGTTGTTGTCACGTCGCTGTGTCTTACTGCGCAAACACGTAAGGTTTGTATTGTCTGTATTCTGCAGGTGTCTCTG